CAGGAATATCTGAAGCCTGTTAAATACCGCTGGTGTCTTTCCCAGAAAATGATACAAGACAACAGAACAGCTCTTTTCCACCAAGTTCTCCAAGCAATCGCCATTCCATCTCCAAGCCCTACAGGCTCAAGCATCCAGACGGCAGTGAGTTGCAACCAAAGGCATAGTGACCTATATTTAAATGATTTACGCTAGACCTGCTAGCATATGTGAACTCACAAGATAAGATTTATGCCCTTTCACATGTACAATGTGCACAGCTGCATTTCACAACACCACACACATACAGCGAACTGATGCATCAGACACTTTTGTTTGTAAGAGATTTCCAAGGTCTGGCACTCAGCAGTTACTCTGAGTAATGGCAAGGGCCAATGTACCTGAAAGGTTGAGATCTGCAAGAACAACATTTGTCAGGAAGCCATGCATATCAAAATGTATTCTACCATTCTTCACACTGTCTGTAATAATAGACTTCACAGAGCCCAGGGCCAGCATACAAGCTTCATGTATTTTCCACCTGCAAAAGAATTCAGATGCTTTTAGGTTTCTTCCCAACATCATCTCAATAAATAAATAAAAATTTTGAAGTGAAACCATAAATTATTTTTTTGTCTAAGCTACCACAACTATTTTCTTGATCCCAAAGCAGAGAATTTAAAAAGGCCCTGAGAGAAATGAACATTTGCAAAACTCAGCAGGCTGGGGGCCTTGAAACTCACTCAGGATAGGTAGCGTTCTCAAACACTTTCTGAAATACAGGTTGAATAATTGTTACTTCTTGTACCAATTTTGTTCCCATAATAAAAAAAGAAATGAGACTCTTCTATGAAGGCTTACATACCCAGCTGTGCCTTAACTTGATTATTTGATGTGCAGAAGCACTGTGATACTCAGTACGTCAAAGGTTTAAAAATGTCTATTTTTGCATTATATTTTGTTAATTACGATGAAATACAATTATGGGCAAATACTACTTCTCCTTGATTTTATTTGTGAAGCAAATAACCTACATTAAAATTTACCACAATTAAGGCAGATGGGGACTCAATGTCCATTTTCTCCAACGTTCAGTTGCTGCTCACTATGCAGTGGCTACTCTGACACTAATATTCAAAATAAACACAAACACTGAACTAACACTGTAAAACCAGGGGAGAATAGTTACGGAACAGCAACCAGGTACTCTTGCAGTTGAGCTTTCTCATCCTATCCCCAAGTAACATTAAAAATTGAAACTTTGAAGTTCGAAAATTGAACACATACATCTGCATGCAGCACCTATCTCTCTTCTTCACATCAAGAAGATATGCTTGAAATTTTGAGCTCAGTTAACTGAACAGAAAGTGAAAGTATTGCTAATGTCTCTTCAGATTCCATATAACTAATTATAGTTTCCAATGACATGTTTTAAGGAATCGTTAGGGTCTGGAGGGAGGGAGCCTGGGGACAGCTAGCTTGTGCTAGGAATTGCTGAAAGTATTCCACATGAAGATTTCATCATCTGGTTCAAGAACTGCTGTACTTCCTTTTTATTCTTCTAATCAGAGTTCTCAAATGTCATCCTTGTCCACCAGTGGCAGTGTCACAAAAAACATGTGATTAAATTATGCTGCACCCAATGCTGCAAAGGAGCTTGTCATTCCCTGCTGCCCCGTCTCCTTACCAGTGCTCAGCACCGCTGTTTTTAGCCTGCTCAGCTTCTTGTAAATGTCTTGTAGCTGCTGCAGCCAAAGCAGTTGCACTCTCGTTCTGGAAATCAGCAGCCACAGCCTGTGCAGAAGGAAACAATAACACTTATTTGTATAGACCTTTAAAAGTTGGCCTTTTCTCCAAATGCCCTTCATGAAGCTAGGCTTATTATTTGTTGTTATTATTTTAGTTGCATCTAAATGTGGAACACATTTCATACCAGCAACAGATCCTGTGCAGCAATCCTCACTGTATAAGAAAAAGTATCATCATCTTCATCCTCCACAAATTGTTGTGGATTTGCTGTCCAAACTTTTATCTGAAACAGAAAGGAGACAAGAAGGATAGGGTGGATGACTAATTCAGAACACCAAAGGTAAAAGGGAGATTTTCTGCTCCCAGTAATCTCAGTTTTGCAAAACTACTTTCAGAATTTTTCTCTGCCGTAAGAAGTCATAGTTTCAACTGGTTTTTCTTATATTCTATTGGAGAAACCTTTTAAAAGAAGACACCCTCTCTATTCTGAGCTCATCTTGCTCTTCTGCTCCTCATTTGAGATCAGAATTTGACAGAACTAGTGACTGACCTGGAATCAATGCTACACAGTTTTATTTATAGATGAGCAACAGGAGAAGCAGATGAATCTTTTAACAGAGTGCCTGTTTTTATGCATGCCTACCTAAACAAAAAGACAACGGCTGTCAGGCCTGGGAGGCCAGGAGCCACACAGAATTTGAGTACAAATTTTTTCACTCCACTAGCACAATTTTTTTACTATCACAGAAACCTAGCTATCCCTTTCAGCATGATAATCCTCATTTTCACATGACGGAATGAAGAAAGCAAGCTTGAAAGAGTTGAGGTTGTTCAGCCTGGAGAGGAGAAGGCTCCAGGGAGACCTTACTGCAGCCTTTCAATATATAAAGGGGGCTTATAAAAAAGGTGGAGATTTCTTACCAGGGCCTGTTGCGACAGGACAAGGGGCAATGGTTTTAAACTGAAAGAGGGTACATTTAGATTAGATATATGGAAGAAATTCTTTACTATGAGCGTGCTGACACACTGGAACATGTTGCCCAGAGAAGTTGTGGATGCCCCATCATTGAAAGCGTTCAAGGCCAGGTTGGACGGGGCTTTGAGCAACCTGATCTAGTGAAAGATGTTTCTGCCTGTGGCAGGGAGATTGAACTAGATGATCTTCGAAGGTCCCTTCCAACCAAAACCATTGTATGATTCTGCGATTTGCTGTCCACATTACACCATTTAGGAACATCCATATTTGGATGCTATTGCCGTAACTCCTGGCACAGTAAAGTGACAGAACAGCCCATTAGATTACAGCAGCCTCCACACACTGAAACTCTTCCTAGAACATTAGCTGTTTTAAATCTCTCATCTCATTTGCTTCCTACACAAGACAAACATGCTCACCTGCTCCTCTGTGATCTGCATATAAAGGAGGATGTAATAGATCAGCTCTGGCAAAGCCTTCTTCACTGTGCTCTTAAATTTGTTGTTTTCCAACAAGGCATGAACAAATTCAAATATGCTGAACACTAGATTTTCAAAGCCCAATACTTCACCTGAACAAAGAAGTAAGTGGGGAAAAAAAAAACAACACGACTGACTATGCCAACATACAGAAAGGCAGAAGTGAAAACAAAACCCATGACTGAATACGCTAACATACAGAAAGGTATAAATGGGTGTCAGATATAACAACAAACAGCTTGTCTGACAAGATAATATTTATTCCTACTCCTGGACTAGCAAGAGCAGCAGCAGCCCCAGGAGGATGTCTGACCTCATCGCTTTCTGCTCTCTTCCCACCTCACCGCACACCCCTCATTACAACTGATCAGGTTCAACCTAAAACCTGTTTGGTTTTCTTTTGTCCCATTACTTTTACCTCAAAATTGTTGCAGAATTCACTTCTTGAGTCGTTAGAAAGCTTAATCAGAAATTCTAACTTATGTTAGAAATTATGCAGCTTCACTGATCACAATCACATGTTACTTGCAAAAAAGTGACAGACACTGTTCTAACACCATAAATGTACCTTAAGCACAATCTTCTACAGTGTTTTAGTCACTGTTTTGATAACAATGTTAAGTCCATTTGTCTTCAAAAGGGAAGGCAAAAGTGCAGCGGAACAAGTTCTTACCATCAGAATCCACAGGGTCCTCCACCTCTTCTGTGTAATTTACTTCCGTTCTCACATAAGTGGATGGAGTTAAGTAAATATGAGTGTTTCTAAAGAACTGCATTTATTTAGGAATTAATCTGTTCCATCTTAAAATTCCTGATAACTAGGGAAGTTTTGTTTCTTAAAAAAAATCTTTGAATTTACACACAGTTTTTTGTTTCAGAGAGATGACAAGCCCCAGAAGCTCCTGGTTTTCTGCACTGCCCAACTTCAAAGACCACTTTCACATCACTTTAGTTCATCCTTTACATCATTTGATTCACTTAAACCAAATCCTCCAAGGTAACCTGAAACTCCAGTTATGCTAAAACTTTGCAAGAATGGAAACACTCAGACTCAACTCTTTCCAGGTGACAATGAGCCAGTTCAATGCTTCACTGCTGCCGAAGGGTGAGGAGCCACCCCATGATCCCATGTGCTACCTTATGTTGGCTTTGCTCCTCATCAGGCTTCTCCACGAGCCCCCAACTCTGGGAAGTGGCAGAAAATTAACATGGGGGTGGAGAGGAAGGAGGTTTCTTTGGGTATGGCCAGTTGAAGGTCCAACAAATGCCAGAGCAAACAGAAGGGAAAGAAGGACAAGACTCTCCCCTTTTGCAAACAAAGAACCTATTTTGTCAGCTCAGCTGCCAGCAGGACTGCAGTAGGAGTCAGGACAGGAGAGGGAGAAATACATCGTCAAAAATTTAACTAACAGCTCCTTGTATTTTAACAGGTGTCTAAAAAAACCCAAACAAAACAAAAACCAAAAACCCCCAAAACTACTGACCTTGAAACTAGACAGTCTCTACCTGCTCCGGAACGAAGACCTCCTTCATGGTCCTCCTGCCCATTTTCACTCTACAAGAGCGTATCACCCAATATGCACCAGGATTTTGAAACACAGACTATGCAGGCAGCTTTGATATAAAAAGGTCTACATCCATGATCTCCAGGAGAACAGTCATTCTTATTAACTTACAGAGGAAAAGCTCAGTCAACCCTTATGCTATTATCACAACACAGCGTCCAATTCTTGTGTTTATACCAAAAATCCAGAAAAAAGTTACAAGAAGGCTCAGTATTCCACAATTACTGTCTCATTACAAAAGGTTAAAAAAGCAACTTTTGGATAAACGATATGGAAAGATTTGACTTGTCAATTTGCAGGTACGGGAAAAACTACCAGCTGAACACCTCTAATATGGTCAATGTGCAGTGAAGTATGACTGTTATAAAATTCAAAAGGCAAATCAATTTCATCAGCAAGTGTAACCAGCCACTAGTACTGCTGTAGCAAGGGATATTGTAGATTCTCCTCTACCTGAAGTCCTTATGCTGTGACTAGGTATCTTTTAAGATGACAATTTTCACTGAAGAGTACCAGAAACAATGCAGAGATTGGTCGCAATTCTGCAGCTAGTGTAACATGGGCACTCACACCATTCATCATGTATGACTTTTAAGCTAAAAGAAACTTAATGGAGCCTACTGACGTAATAGAAATATCCAGTACATCTACACCATGTACCATGCTCTTCACGTATGCTGTGTTCAGGTTGTTATTGTGCACAAGACAGAGTTTGTCTTGTTCTATTCTAGTTAAAACCATTCACTACAAAGGATATAAGGCGGCACTTTCTGTAAGGGTATTCCAGACAATGGGCAGGATCTGCTGCATTGATGAAACCATGTGCTTCGGATAGTTTTTCACAAGTGCTGTCACAGCCTGGAACAAAAAAGAATATCAATCAAAAGCAAAACTGGGGAAAACCATCATCAAACACTCAAATCACGGTCTGCTGTCTCATTAAACCTTCCTGCCACCAAGGTCTCCTCAACTCACTTGTGACCAGGCAGTCCCCTCACCTGCACTAACTCTGACAAACAGGCCCCTCTTCGTATGTGCTCTTTTGCAGGGAAGCAAAGAGGTAAGAGGAGAAGTGCAACTCTGGAAATGAAGACATTGCAATGATTTGGTGGTAAGGTATGGATTCCAATCAGAAGTACATCACTGCACAGCACCGCCTGGATACAACTGCCACCTGGAAGCTATCTTGTCCCAGAAAATTAACTCTAATCAAGTAAAACCAGACCACAGCCTATTTCCTACACTGCTACACATGCAAGCAACACATCCATTTGCACATCCAGGGAATAGCTGCAGATGAAAACACCTACCCAGATCAATTCTCTCATCCATTTCAGCTGCAGACACAGACACCTCTGCCAG